TGAAAATGGGAGGAGATGACATTGACACATGACATATAAGGGGGGAATCTTCACTTGGCAAGCTCGTACGTGAGGTGGCAAGGGTCCAAGAGCCCTGCACTCTGTACCCCGTGGTTATCTTTTCCTTATGCGCTATTATTTGAACGAAATGATCCTTTATTTTTAATCAAATTATATTGTCGATATATATTTTCTAAACTATTCAATTAAAATTGCTGCTATCTCAACTATTTTTTGGTTTTTTTATGATGGGATAATTGGGCAAACATAACAAGAAACACGAGGGCAAAAACCAATGGTCGGAATATATCACACAAGAAAGGACAGTTCAGAATTCTGCCAGCAGCAGCTTTGCTGTGACAGGCCAGGAGTGCAGTGCACACAAGCTCCAGGCAAACGGTTCAAGGCAAAGCTGAGAAGAGCAAATCAAATGTTCAGCCCAGGATCCCACAGCGGAGGGAGCTTCATTGTCCTCTTCCCAAGCAGAAAGAGCTTCTCCATCCTCTTCCCAAAATGCTGCAGCTTCTCCATCCTCTTCCCAAAATGCTGCAGGTTCGCCATCATGTTTCCAAGTCAGGGGATGTTCGCTGTCCACTTCCCATGCTGGGAGATGTTCACTCTCCTCTTCCCAAGACAGAGGATGTCCTCCATCCTCCTCCCGCACCGGGAGATGTCTGTTTTCCTCATCCCACACTGTGAGATGTCCTCCATCCTCATCCCACTCCGTGGGAGCTTGGCCATTCTGGTCCCACACCAGGGCACATCCACCGTCCTCGTCCCACGCTGGGAGATGTCCCCTGTCCTTGTCCCACCCCATGGGAGCCTCGCCGTTGCATTCCCACACCGCGGGATGTTCGCCCTCGTCTCCCAGAGCAGCGAGAAGTTCACTGTCATCTCCCGGCACTGAGGGAAGTTCAGCATCGGCCCCCAGAGCAGCGGGAAGCTCACTGCTGTCTTCCTCCTCTTTGGCCTCCTCTTTGGAAGCAGAGGGAGCCCCAGGAGGTGCTGGTGCTGCTTTTGTGACCTGTGATGGCAGCGTGAGGGACAGGAAGTTCTATCTCAGTTATCACCTTATTTATCCTCAGCTGCACATCCAGCTGCACTAAGCAGAAATGGGGTTCAGAGCTGTTCCAACTAACAATGGGCTAAAGTCGACATTGCCACTTATTGTTGGGAATTCGATATTCCACCATGGCTAAAGCCAGCAAGCAATCCTCTGCCTGCAAAACCAGACCTGCACCCCTTCAAAAGCTCTTCAGCAGAAAAGGAAAAAACTGCTGGGGATCCCTTTGCTGCTGCTGCTGCAGGCACTGACAGGAACTTTCCTTCAGCCTCCCAGGCTGGCACTCGGCTGCCACATGCCGAGCTCACACCTTGCTGCACAATTCCAAACACCAAAGGTTCCTTTCCCACTCACCGAAGGAGGAGCTGCTTGGAATCCAGACATGAGGTGCCCTGAAACGGGAGAGGGAACATGAACCAGATGCTGTTAGGAGAAAAACTGCCAGTGGTGGGAAATGCCACGGAGCAAGGCAACCCCAAGAGAGCATTTTGCTTTCACAGCATCCCTCCAAGAGCCACAGTCCCTTCCCACAGCGAGCAAGAGAACAGCACAAAATACTGGGCTGGGTCAGTTCTTGGCTGGAGCAGCAAAGGGAGGGAGTTCCAGGCTCTGCTGGCACAGACTCCCTGCTTGAGGGAACAGAACCCCCCCCGGGCTCATTGCAGATGCTGTGCACACCCCGCTGGCTGCAGACACCCCCTTTTTCAGCTGCAGCTGCTGGCAAGAGCTCTCCCAGAGCAATGGTGTTCTTCATGGCAATTTGGTTCCAAAGTCAGCTCAGCTCCAGAGGAAGAACAGAAAGCACACAGCAAGCCCAAAGCCACAGATGCTGCACCAAGGGAAAACCTCGACTTACGTGCCAAGTGGGTTAAAAAATACCCCGAATAAGCCACAGAGTACAGAGTGCAAACTGCAGCAGCCACCTGCTGGAGCACTTTGGCTGCGCTGCACAAGTCTGCAGCCTGTAGCCCTGCAAGCACAGGACACCTGTCAGGGCTGGGCTGGCTGCTGAGAATGCCTCGGGCAGGAGGATCCTCTGGCAACGAGCCCAGAGCCACTCTGGGCACTGAGGCCTCCGTGTCCCACAGCAACGGGAACACCATGGGGACGTGGCGCTGTTCCTGTGACATCCCAGCAGCAGCTCACGCAGAAACCGCCTGGAAGGTTCTCCTGTGTCACAAAGGAGCACAAAGAACCCTCCCAGGGCACAGCCTATGGCCCAAGGGGTGCAAGAGGAACTCGGAAAATGCATCAAACAAGGACACCCCACAGCCCAGCCTGAACACTGAGGAGGAACAAGGACGGCACCGAACCAAAGGAAACGTGACCTTTAGTCACTGATAGTTCTGACTAAAAGCAGCAAGCCTTGTTCCCTCTGGGATCTTTGTTCTAGTTCTAAAAACAAGCAAGGTTCTCCAGTCTAAATACACAGAAGGCAGGAACTGGGGAGGAGGTGGGATTAGGAAAGAGGAGGAGGAGGAGGAGGGAGAGAGGAAAAGGAGGAGCAGGAAGAGGAGGAGCAGGAGCAGGAACAGGAGGTTCCAGTGCCCCCTGTGGCCGCAGCCACGGGACCATTGCCCCCAGCTCGTCCTGCAGGTGAGCGGGGAGGAGGAGCTCGTCCCTGAGAGGGTTTTTTATTGGGGTGTGTTTGGAGCTCACAGATTGTGAAATTGACCCCAAATATCGTCTGGTGTCCCTGGGAGGTTTTTTTCTCTGTGTGAGTAGGTTTGGATCTTGCAGGAGCCCAAAGCTGAGCCCCTTGAGGGATCTTTGGGGGCCCATGTGGCCATTGCCCAGTATGGGCAGGGGAGGACATTGGTCCTGGGGACCCCCGGGAGAGCAGAGGAGGGGAACCCCTGGGACCCCCAGAGTGGGGAGAGCAGAGAGGGGCGATCCCAGAGCAGCGGGACCCCGGCAGACTGGAAAGGAGGGGAGCCTGGAGAGGAGGGACCCCTGGAATCCCTGGGATCTCAAAGCAGAGCATCAGGGGAGAAGGGCCCCCATGGACCCCGAAAAGCCCCTGGATCATCCCTAAGCAGGACGCTGGAGAATGGAGAACCCCTGGAACCATTGGACCCCCATGATCCTGAGGAAAGGAAATTTCTGGAACCCCAAAAGTAGAGAGATGAGCAATAGGGAACTCCTGGGAGAGCTTTTTCAGGCTGAATCTTGATATGTGGAGATTTTCATGGACACAAGACTCCTGCTGAGTTCCAGAGATGGACCTGGCCAGGAGGAGCCTCTACTCCAAGGCACTCCCAGCTTGGTTTCCCCCAAACCAGGGTTTGTCATTCCCAAGCTGTGGCTGGATGGAGGAGGAGGAAAAGCCCCAGAGATCCCTCACAAGGAGGGGCTGCAAACCCAGCCCAGGGAGGGGTGAGGAGGAAAGAGCCCCCCTGAGCCAGGAAGGCGGCCAGAGATGCAGCCACAGCTCAGAGCTGGTGGAGCCTCATGGCAGGGAGAAGCCCCACAAGTGCTTGGAATGTGGGAAGGGTTTCAGCTCCAGCTCCACCCTGAAGGAACACCTGAACATCCACACTGGGGAGAGGACCTGGGAGTGTGGGGAATGTCAGAAGAGCTTCAGGTGGGATTGAGAGATCGTCACTCACCAGCACTTCCACACCAGTTAGAGGTCCTGTGAGTGTCCCGAGTGTGGGAAGAGCTTCATGCGCTGCTCCAGCTCCATCCCCCATGGGAGAATCTGCCCTGGATGATCCCCAGTGACCCCCGTTGGGCAGAGCCCTGGTGACCCCTGTTCTGGGTGATCCGTGTTGGGCAGGAGGAAGGTGTTGGAGAGATTTCTTTCCCTTCTCCTTGTGCTGCTGTGATTTGGTTGGTAATAAATTCCCTCCCTGTGCCCAGGCCGAGTCTGTTGTGCCCGTGCGGGATTTGCTGAGGGATCTCTCCCGGTCCTTGTCCCCACGCAGGAACCCTCGGTTCCATTTTCTGTCCCTGTGTGGCTGCGGGGGGCAGGGACAGAGCGGCTCTGGGGGTGCCTGGCATCGGGCCAGCGTCACCGCTCGCCACGGGCAGCCCTGAGATGCCGCGCACCTGGGCACGCATTGCTGGGCTCACCTGAGCTCCCACCTGCCCAGCGCCCCAAGGTTCCCCCTGCCCAAAAAACGCCGAGCCTGGGGCTGCAGCGTCCCGGAAAGGCCTCAGCCAATGGCAGCGCAGGCAGGAGGAGGCTTAGCCAATGAGAGGTCGGGGCGTTGGATTGCCTCATCGGTTGCCGGACAGAGCCCGTGGCCGTTCGCTGCCCAGAAGCGGCGGCAGCCAATGAGAGCACGCGGCGCTGCCGAGCCCGCCGTGCTCCGGACTGGCGCTCCCAGCGCAGCGCGGCTGCTTTGGGGCTGCTGCTCCCTGCCCGGCCCCGGCCATGGGGCGAGGGGCGGCAGCTGGGGCCCTGCTGGTGGCACTGGTGGTGCTGGGAGCCCCCCCGGCTGCGGGTGCGGAGCTCTTGGGTGAGCGGGGGGCGGGAGGCGCTGGGACAGGGGGGGAGAAGGGGGAAAAGGGGGCGAAGGGGGGAGCCCGGAATGGAGGGGGAGGAGGAGGGGACCCCCCAAAGGGAGAGCGGGAGGGGCTGAGGGGTGGGGGGAGGGAGGGGTGGGAGAGGGTGTGGAAGGGGCAAAAGTGGAGGTGGGACACCATATCTGAGCGGGAGGGGCCTGGGGATTGGATAATTTGTGGGAAAATGGGGAAATAGGATCCCAAAAGTGATTTGGGGAGCGGCCGGAGGGGGGAGGGGAGAGGATGTGGAAGGGGAAATGGGGGAAGGGCGGCAAAGAGGAAGCGGCAGCGCGGGCAGGAGGGTCCCATGGCGGCCGTGGGGCACAGGGGATGCGGAGTGGGGATCCGGGGTGGGCCCGGAGCTCTGGGGGTGCTGCTGGGGGCGGTGCTGGGGGGCACTCCCTGTGCTGTGTCCTGCTGTCACAGGAGTGTTCCAGTTTTTGGCAATGTCCGAGTGTTATTTCATAAACGGCACGGAGAAGATGAGGTTCGCGCAGAGGTACATTTACAATCGGGAGCAGTTCGTGATGTTTTACACTACGTGGGCTTCACCCCCTATGGGCAGGGGTGGGCCAGTGACTGGAACAGCAACCCGGCCACACTGGAGTACGCAACGGTCTGTGGTGGACATGGTCTGCCCGTACAACTACAAGGGGGTTGGCCCATTGAGCACCGAGCGCCGAGGTGAGCGCGGGGCAGAGCGTGTCCCCTCGGGCCCTGACAATGACCCTGGAGACCCTCAAAATCTCCCTGGGAATCAGCCCAGAGCCCTCAGCCCTCCTTGTGCCCATTCCCGGGGCCTCCTGTCCCTGCCACTGACCACCATGGCTCGCCCAGTCCATCCCAGTCCCTCTCATTGCCCATTTCAGCGTCCATTTCAGCGACGCGTAAAGCTGACGCTTCTCATCCAGTCAGAACGCGACCCTTTGATGACTCATCTGTTGCCAGGCAGACCCGCAGCGCCGAGTGCCCCGCGCTGGACTCGGCCTCGCAGTGCTGCGCACTCCATTCCCAGCTCCTTCCAGTGCCAGCACAGTCCCTCCCAGTCCCTCGCAGCCCATTCCCAGTCTGTTCTCACTTCATTCCAGTTCACTCTCAGACCTCTAGCCTTTCTCTCAGTGCCACTCATTCCCTCCCATCTCTCTCATTGCCATCCCAGTCCGTCCCCAGACCCTGCCAGTCCATTCCCAGTCCCTCTCCAGCCCAGCCCAGCCCTCCCCTCTCTCTCCCAGTGCCCCCCAGCTGATCCCAGTGTGTCCCCGCTCTCTCTCTCTCTCTCTCCCAGTGTCCCCCAGCGTGTCCATCTCGCTGGTTCCCCCCTCGAGCTCCCAGCCCGGTCCCGGCCGCCTGCTCTGCTCCGTGATGGATTTCTACCCTGCTGCCATCCAGGTGAGGTGGTTCCAGGGCCAGCAGGAGCTCTCGGAGCACGTGGTGGCCACCGACGTGGTCCCCAACGGGGACTGGACCTACCAGCTGCTGGTGCTGCTGGAAACGCCGCCCCAGCGCGGGCTGAGCTACAGCTGCCAGGTGGAGCACGTCAGCCTGGAGCAGCCCCTGAGGCGGCACTGGGGTACGGGGGAGCCCCTGGGGGCGCTGGCAGAGCCACTGGGCTGTGCTGGGAGCCACTGGGAGGGAGCTGGAGAGAGCCGGGCTGGAAGTGGGAGAGGGGCTGGGGGCTGGGCAAGGTCTGGGAAGGGGTTTGGGGGATGCTGGGGAGGGCTGGGAAGGGATTTAGGGGGTGCTGGTGGGCACTGGGAGGGCGTTTGGGGGTGCTGGGTGTGACTGGGAGGGAGTTTGTGAGCGCTGCCATCCTCTCACCGTCCTGTGTCCCCCTTCACCTCCTGTCTTTCCACATCCCCTGTTCCCTACCCAGAATGGTGATGGCCAGTGGCATCAGAGATGCTCCGAAGTTTCCCTCATTTGCCTCACAAGGACAGACCCTGAGGAGCCTTGCTGCAGTTCTTGCGTGGTTGAGGTGGATGCTCACCAAGTGATCGTGTGCAGCTGTGCTTGCTGTGCCCCCACGGTCTCACGCCCGCTTCACCACCCCACAACAGCCCATGAATTTCCCCACTCTTGGCCAAATGAACTTTCTGAGCTAACTCTGGTGATCCCCCCACGGAAGATCCCTCATCTGCCTCACGACCACTGTCAAAGACAGAGACTGAAGCCCCTACCCAAGGCCTGAGGCTGAGACCCTTAAAATTCTAACACAGGGGCACTGGCCTGACTGAAGTGGCATGTTTGCCAAGTGCTGTCTGCAGGTGTGTTCGCTGGACCAAGACTGGTTTCTCATAGACACCAATCCTGAAGCAATGGGCCCCACTCACTGCTGAGATTGCCTTGTCCTGTTTTGGAACATGGACTGTCCATACCTGTTTTCAATACATTTATCCTCCATTGTCTTTTACTGTTCCCCCCTCAGCAGAGGACTATAGAGGACCCCTGAGTTAACCAAAGATTTTGAGATTTTCCCAACGTGACAAGACAGATCTATTGGCCAGACTACGAGGATTTCATCTCTCCATTGGTAGCTATTCCCTCCCCTCTTTTTCTCTCTATCCTTTATCTCCTTCCTAATCCTTCTATCACATTTGCTGTGGGCACTCAATAAAGGTGCATTTGTTTTGATGAATAGTGAAATGCCCTCTGTGTTGTTTTGCACTCAGAGATCAGTTAATGAACCATCAAACCTCACCTGTACAAGTGGATTGTGACAGGCTGCGCCGTCCTGGGCCCTCCTTCTAAAAACAGCGCTGACCAGGCTGTTTGAGATTCCCCTTTTTCCTACCAATTCCTTCTCCTCTGAACCCAAACCTCCCCTTCCCCCCTAGCCATCTCCCCCCCATTTCTGCCGCGCTGCTGCAGCTGGCCCTGCCCAGGGCCCGCGTGACGGGGCTGCTCGCCCTGTGCAGGAGTCAGCCGGCCTCACCACCACCCTGTGAAAAACCAATCACTTGTTTTAAAATTTTAAATGTTTAATAGTAATAAAATAGTTATTAAAATATTAATAAAAAAGTAGAGCACTAAGAGTTTGGACAATCAGAGTTAGGACAATAAAGGACAATAAAAAAGCAAAGAATTATGGACATTTGGATGCTTTTCTCAAAAAAGCATGTCAGCTAACAAAGGGTTAACCCTTAAAAGCAATACCCTGCTGCATATTCAAAAATCTCATACATGATGCAAACATTCCCTTCAAACTAGGGATTTTTCTGGTTATTGTCACCTTACCCCCTTCATCTGTAAATCATGGTTTGGCTCCATGGAGTCTGAAAGAAGGAGGTGGAAGGAGCCTGGTTGTTCCTGATAAGGAGGGATAATAATTCTTATTATTATAAGAATAATTCTTCTCTTTGGGGTTTTAGTGTCTTGTTGCTGTTTGCTCTGTGCAAAGAATTTCTTGACCATCTCATCCCTTTCTTGAGCTAGTTAGGAAAGTATCTTACATCGCAGAGTTTCTATTTTAATATTATGCTATAGCCTAAAACTATATTTACCACACTAATTCAGAGGATTAACACAGCATAACTTTCTAACATAACACATATAATATTCATTTTAATGTTTGCGAAAAGCCAATTTTATAATACTCATTTTTCACAATAACAACACCCATGACACCAGTGGCAAAGCTGAGACCAAACATTAAAGACTGTGCCCCTTGTGAAGAGGAGACCAAAGAACTGCACCCCTCCTGTGAGGAGATCAAAAGCCTGAGGAGATTGAGCTGTGAACTCATAAGGTAAAAATGTATTCATTTAATCAAGTATCATCATTTCTGTTACTTTATCCTTTGTGATTAAGTCTCAAATGCTTTTCTATTCCTTGTTAATTTAGCTGAATAATATTCATTTTGGTTTTGTAAAACTATTCAGTCATAGTCCCGAGAATCCCCTTATTTTAAGTTATTCAGCATGCATTGATCAGTTTAAAAACTGGGGAGTTGTGGAGTGCCCCTGTTCCTAAGGGACAGGAATTTGGTCTCACCCTCCTTGTGTTGCTGAGAACTCCTCCCTCGCCCCGAACCCCAACTCCCCCCAGGATCCCCTACAAAAACCCCCTGCCCTGCCTTTGCCTGGTCCTTCATCCCCATCCTGCCCCTTCTCGTTTGTTCCCCTGCCCGGCGCCGGCAGCTGCGCCCTCCCTGGGCACGATGAGCCCAGCTGCAACACCCCGCAACAGCAGGGACCCCAAAATCACCCCAAATCCCCCCAAAACAGGTCAGGGACCCCAAAATCACCCCAAATCCCCAAACTCCGGTCAGGGACCATGAAATTACCCCAAAATACCCCAAAAATACCCCAAATCTCCAGTCAGGGACCTTGAAATTACCCCAAATCCCCCAAACTCCAGTCAGAGACCATGAAATTACCCCAAAACACCCTAAAAAAAGCCCCAAAATACCACAAAACTCCAGTCAGGGACAACACAATTATCCAAAAATATCCCAGAAGCCAGTCAGAGTTACCAAAATCCCCCAAATCCCCACAAAATCTGGTCAGGAAACCCAAAATGACACCGAATCCCCCCAAAATTGCCCCAAATCCAGTCAGGATCCCGCAAATCCCCTCAGGACCTCGTAAAATCCCCTGAGAACCCCTCAGAATCTCCCCCCAAATTACTGCAGGACCCCCCCAGATCTCCTCAGGACCCCATAAAATCCCCTCAGGAATCCCCAAACCCCCCCTCAAATCCTCTCACAACCCCAATTCCCCATAGAGACCCCCCAAAAGCTCCCCAAAAACCTTCACGAGCGCCCAGTTCTCCCTCAGCACCCTCCAAAGCCCCTCACATCCCCTCAGCTGCCTCACATCCCCTCACAACGCTCCAAATCCCCTCAGGACTCCCAATTTTCCCTCAGGACTCCCCAAAAAATTCACCCCAAACCCCTTCATGATCCCCCAGTTCAACCTCAAGAGCCCCCAAACCCCCTCACATCCTCTCACAACCTCCCAAACCCCTTCAGGACCCCCCATTGTCCCTCAGGACCCACTAAATTCTCTCAGGACCCCCAGTTCTCCCTCACGACCTCCCAGTTGTCCATCAGATCCCCTCAGTCCCCTCAGGACCCCCAATTCTCCCTCAAGACTCCCCAGACCCCCTCAGGACCCCTCCCAATCCCTTCATAATCCCCCAACCCCCTCCTAACCGCCCCCCCCCGCTCCCGGTGCTAACCGAGGTCGCTGTCGCCCATCCCGCGCTGCCGGGGGGGGTCCCGGGGCTCTCTCGGCGCTCCCAAATTTCCGCCCCGCCCCCACGCGGCCTCAGGCCCGCTCCGCCGCCGCTGGGCCCCACCGGGACCACAATGCCCACAATGCACCGCGTCTCTACCGGAAGCGACCATCAATGCCGCCGCAGGGGGAACTTCCGCCAGTACTTCTGCAAATGCGGCTTCTGATTGGTCTGCACCGCATTTGTCGCTTCTCGCCAGAGGTGTCGTGAGAGAAGCAGCGCGGCCATCTTGGTTGAGGGCAATTCTGTGGGCCCCTCAGAGCGCTCCGCATTCCCTCATAAATCCAGCCGGGAACAGCGGAATTAGTCCGCCTGGAAATGGCGGGATGGAGACTTAATCCCCTGGGGATGGAGTCTAAATCCCCTTCTGCTGAGCCTAAATCGTCTGGGATTTAACCAAAGCGCCCAAATCCTGGAGCTTTCCATGGATAGGGGCGGTACTGGAAAGGGCGGACGGTGACGCCACATCGCCCCGCCCCTTTCCGGTCACTCCTGAGGCGGCTCCGACTTTTCCCGGCACCGACCCCGGGGCCTGTTCTGGGCCGGACCGGAGCTGGTCCCGGAGCTCCTTCGCCACCGGTGCGTCCCCAGGGTGATCCCAAGGTGACCCCAGTGAGCATGGAGCCCCAAGAGGTGCGACAGGAAGGGGAGGGCAGTGGGGGGTCGGGGGCACACGGGGCGAAAGTGCGGGGTGGCAGATGGGTTTGGGGGGGTGACAAAGGGACAGAGCGGACAGCAGAGCCCTCCAGGAAGGGCACAAAGGGGAGCCCGGGAGGGCACAGGGGTCATCGCAGGAGGCCGTAAGTGCCACCACGTCCCTGACACCTCCCCTGTCCCCTCCCCAGCTGTCCCCGGCCCTGCTGCAACCACAGGTCACCGTGGTGGCCATCCTGGGCGAGCTGCTGGACACCCTGCCCAGCCTGGACGAGATGACTCTGCTCGTGTCCCCACTGCACCTGTACTGGGACCTGATGGACTTCACCAATGAGCTCCGCGACAGCCTGTACCGCATTGATGACACCTGGAGGCACCGTAATTTCATCTCCGATGATGATGACCCCCCCGCCTCCCTGAGCCAGGCCCTGGCCACCCACAAGAGCAGCCCATGCACGCACTGGATCTGTGTGCAAATGAAGGCCTGGAAGTGGCCGCGGTCAGTGGCTGCACTCAAGGACAGGTGGGCCGAGCTTGCCAGGAAGGCCACCAAGCTCCCCAATGCCTGCAGGGATTTGGCCACCAAGGCAGCCGACAGGACGGCCACCGCCACTGCCCGGGCCAGGGAGCTGCAGGCTGTGGCTGCCCGTTATTGGACAGCTCAGGAAAACATGGTGAAGTTTCGTCAGGCCCTGGGCGGGGAGGAGGGGGCTGAGGTGGTGGTCAGGCATGAAGCCCAGGTGAGGAGAGAGGCCATGGTGGCTGCCAGCGAGGCAAGAAGGGCCACCATGGTGAGACAGCGGCTGGAGGTGGCCCTGGGGCTGCTGGAGCGCTTGGTGGCCGCATGTGACGAAGCCACCGCGTTCCCCCGGGAGCTGCAGTGGCGGCTCAGGGACATCAAGGCCGCCCTGGAGGGGACATATGAGGCGCCCCCAAAAGTGTCTGAGGACTTGGTGGCCAAGGTGGCCGTGGCCGAGCGGCTGTGGGAGGCCAACACCCGCCTGGCCAAGGATCACCTGGTGGGGACACTTCAAGACATCATCAAGTTTTATTTCCATGATGGTCCCACCAGCCGCAGTGCCCGTGAGGTGGCCGAGCGGTGCCAAAGAGCCATCGAGGACATCCCAAGGCTCCTTCAATCCCCGGAGTGTCCCCAGAGTGTCCCCAAAGTGTCCCCAGTGAGCATGGAGCCCCAAGAGGTGCGACAGGGGTGAGGGGGTGGGAGAAGAGACAGGGACGGAGGGGACACTGGAGGGGGCAGGGGGCAGTTGGGGATGAAGGTGACACAGACGGTGGTGAATGGGACAGGGGGTCGCAAAGGGCACAGGAGGCAGTGGCAGGATGGCAGGAAAGGGGAAGGTGACAGAGAGGGAAGGGGACTTAAGGTGGAGGGGGCAGAGGGATATGGAGGGCACAGCGGGGTAGGGCACGGGGGGGTGGCAGAAGGAACAAGAGGCTGACAAAGGGACGGAGGGGACAAAGGGAACCCTCGGGAGCAGGGGGCTACCCCAGGAGGCCGTAAGTGCCACCAGGTCCCTGACACCTCTCCTGTCCCCTCCCTAGCTGTCCCTGGCTCTGCTGCAGCCACAGGTCACCGTGGTGGCTATCCTGGGCGAGCTGCTGGCCACCCTGCACAGGCGGGATGAGATGACGCTGCTGCTCATGTCCACAGTGAGCCTGTACCGGGACCTGGAGGACTTCACTAGGGAGCTCCGGGCCACTCTGTATCCCATTGATGGCACCTGGTGGCGCCAGGATGTCCCTGTGGATGATGATGACCCTCCCGTCTCCCTCAGCCAGGCCCTGGCCGCCTACAAGAGCACCCAATGGACCACCTCGTTCCGTGTGGAAATGGAGGTCAGGAAGTGGCTTCGGTCAGTGGATGTACTTGTGGGCAGGAGGGCCGAGCTGGCCAGGAAGGCCACCAAGCTCCACAACACCTGCAGGGTGACGGTCACTGAGGCAGGCTACAGAGCTGCCACTGCCACCGCCCGGGCCAGGGAGCTGCAGGCCACGGCTGCCCGTGATGGGACAGCTCAGGAAAACATGGTGGGGCTGGGTCAGGCCCTGGGCAGGGAGGAGGGGTCCGAGGTGGTGGCCGGGCATGGAGCCTGGGTGAGGAGAGAGGCCAGGGTGGCTGCCAGCAAGGCAACAAGGGCCACCATGGTGAGACAGCGGCTGGAGGCGGCCCTGGGGCTGCTGGAGCGCTTGGTGGCCGCATGTGACGAAGCCACCGCGTTCCCCCGGGAGCTGCAGCGCCTGCTCAGGGACACCAAGGCCACCCTGAAGAGGACAAAGAAGCAGTCCATCAATGTCCCCAATGCCTTGGCGGCCAAGGTGGCCGTGGCCGGGCTGCTGTGGAAGACCAACACCCGCCTGACCAAGGATCACCTGGGGAAGACACTTCCAGACGTCATTGAATTCTTGTTCAATGGTGGTCTTGACAGCCCCAGTGCCTGTGGGATGGCTGAGCGGTGCCAAAGGGCCACTGAGGACATCCCAAGGCTCCTTCGACCCCCGGAGTGTCCCCAGGGTGTCCCCAAGGTGTCCCCATTGAGCATGGAGCTCCAAGAGGTGCAAAAGGGGGGTGGGAGGCGAGGTGGACGGATGGGACACTGGAGAGGGAGGGGGAAATGAGGGATGGAGGGGACACAGGGGTTGGCAGGAGGATACAGGGGGTCACAAAGGGGACCGGAAGGAATGGCAGGAAGGGGGGAGGTTATAGAGGGGTGGATGGGAAACGGGGGGGGATAGGGGCATGGAGGGACTTGAGGGAGAGGGGACACGAGGGCTAGTGGGGGGTGGAAGAGGGGACAGCAGTGGGAGCGAGGGGGGTAGAAGAGGGGACAGCAGAGGGCCAGCAGGTGGCAGAGGGGACAGCTGTGGGGGTAGAGGGTGGCAGAAGGGAGGGCAGAGGAACAGGGGGCGAGAGGGGCTACACGGAGAGGAGCAGGGGTGTGGCAGAGGGGACAAGAGGCTGACAAAGGAACGGAGGTGACAGAGGAGACCCCTCGGGGGCAGGGGGACACCACAGGAGGCCCTAAGTGCCACCAGGTCCCTGACACCTTCCCTATCTCCTCCCCAGCTGTCCCCAGCCCTGCTGCAGCCACAGGTCACTGTGGTGGCCATCCTGGGCGAGCTTCTGGCCACCCTGCCCAGACAGGATGAGGAGATGCTGCCTGTGTCCCCATTGCACCTGTACTGGCACCTGGAGGAATTCACCAATGAGTTCTGGACCACCCTGCACTGTATTGATGACACCTGGAGGCACCAGAATGTCACCGTGAATGGTGATGACCCTGTCACCTCCCTGAGCCAGGCCCTGGCTGCCTACAAGAGCACGCCATGGATCTCCCAGAACCGTGTGACAATGGCAACCAGGAAGTGGCAGGGGTTGGTGGCTGCACTTGTGAACAGCTGGGCCGAGCTGGCCCAGAAAGCCACCGAGCTCCGCAACACCTGGAGGGAGGTGGTCACTGAGGCGGCCGCCGCCCGGGCCAGGGCCCTGCAGGATGAGGTTGCCTGTTATTGGACAGCTCAAGAAAACATGGTGGGGCTGGGTCAGGCCCTGGGCAGGGAGGAGGGGACGGAGGTGGTGGCCGGGCATGAATCCTGGGTGAGGAGAGAGGCCATGGTGGCTGCCGGCGAGGCAACAAGGGCCACCATGGTGAGACAGCGGCTGGAGGCGGCCCTGGGGCTGCTGGAGCGCTTGGTGGCCGCATGTGACGAAGCCACCGCGTTCCCCCGGGAGCTGCAGCGCAGGGTTGGGGACATCGAGGCCGCCTTGAAGGGGACAAATGAGGTGTCCTGTGATGTCCCCAATGCCTTGATTGCCAAGGTGGCTGTGGCCGAGTGGCTGTGGGAGGCCAACACCCGCCTGGCCAAGGATCACCTGGGAGGGACACTTCAAGACATGATCAACTTCTATTATGGTTGTGCTCCTGACAGCCCCCGTTGCCGCGGGGTGGCGGAGTGGTGCCAAAGAGCCATCGAGGACATCCCAAGGCTCCTTCGACCCCCAGAGGGTCCCCAAGGTGTCTCCAAGGTGTACCGAGTGAGCATGGAGCCCCAAGAGGTGCGACGGCGGGGGAGAGAGGGACAGAGGGGACACATGGCAGGGAGAGGAGGCACGGGGGGGTGGAGGGGACAGTGGAGGATGGAGGGGACAGGGGTTGCAAAGGGGACAGGAGGGAGTGGCAAGAAGTGGGGAGGTGACAGAGAAGGGGAGAGGACACGCGGAGGAATGGGACAGTAGAGGATGGGGAGGACACGGGAGGATGGGGACATGCGAGGTGGCATGGGCTATTGGTGTGGTGGTAGAGGGTGGCAGAGTGGTGACAGTGCGGGCAGGGGGGTGGCAGAGGGGCAGGGGGCAGGAGAGGCTAAGAGGGGAGGGGCAGGGGGTAGCAGAGGGAACAAGAGGTTGACGGACAGAAGGGAGAAAGGGGATCCCTCGGGGGCAGGGGTCCGCCTCAGGAGGCCTATGTGCCACCTGTCCCTGACACCTCTCCTGTCCCCTCCCCAGCTGTCCCCAGCCCTGCTGCAGCCACAGGTCACTGTGGTGGCCATCCTGGGCGAGCTGCTGGCCACCCTGCCCAGTCTGGACACGATGATGATGCTGCTCCTGTCTCCAAGCTGCCTGTACTGGGACCTGATTGACTTCACCAGGGAGCTCCAGACCACCTTGTATCGCTTTGATGCCGCCTGGTGGTGCCGCAGTGTCAGGTTCAATGACGATGACCCTCCCACCTCCCTGAGCCGGACCCTGGCTGCCTACAAGAGCACCAGATGGACCACCTGTTTCCATGTAAGACGGGCGACCAGCAAGTGGCAGCGGTCACTGTCTATGCTCATGAACAGCTGGGTCCAGCTGGCCAGGGAGGCCACCGAGCTCTGCAACACCTGCAGGGATTTGGCCACCAAGGCGGCCGACAGGGCGGCCACCGCCGCCGCCACCGCCCGGGCCAGGGCCCTGCAGGATGAGGCTGCCCGTTATTGGACAGCTCAGGAAAACATGGTGAAGTTTCGTCAGGCCCTGGGCGGGGAGGAGGGGGCTGAGGTGGTGGTCAGGCATGAAGCCCAGGTGAGGAGAGAGGCCATGGTGGCTGCCAGCGAGGCAAGAAGGGCCACCATGGTGAGACAGCGGCTGGAGGTGGCCCTGGGTCTGCTGGAGCGCTTGGTGGCCGCATGTGACGAAGCCACCGCGTTCCCCCGGGAGCTGCAGTGGCGGCTCAGGGACGTCAAGGCCGCCCTGGAGGGGACATATGAGGCGCCCCCAAAAGTGTCTGAGGACTTGGTGGCCAAGGTGGCCGTGGCCGAGCGGCTGTGGGAGGCCAACACCCGCCTGGCCAAGGATCACCTGGTGGGGACACTTCAAGACATCATCAAGTTTTATTTCCATGATGGTCCCACCAGCCGCAGTGCCCGTGAGGTGGCCGAGCGGTGCCAAAGAGCCATCGAGGACATCCCAAGGCTCCTTCAACCCCTGGAGCGTCCCCAGAGCATCCCCAGGGTGTCCCCAGAGACTATGGAGATTGAAGAGGTGCGACCGGGGGAGGGGGGAGAGAAGAAATGAGAGAGAGGGGACCCTGGGGTGGAGGGGGCAATGGGGAATGGAGGGATCAGGGGGGGATGGCAGGAGGGGACAGGGTAACAAAGGAGACAGGAGGGAGTGGCAGGAAGGGGGGAGGTGACAGAGAGGGGGAGGGGAAACAGGGGAGGAGGGGGCAGTGGGGGATGGGGAGGACATGGTGTGGGGAGAGAGGACGCAGGGGCTGCCAATGGGTGGCAGAGGGGACAGCAGTGGGGGCAGGGGGTGGCAGAGGGAACAAAATGCTGACAAAGGGATGGAGGGGACAAAGGGGACCCTGGGAGGGCACTGGGGCCACCCCAGGAGGCCGTAAGTGCCACGAGGTCCCTGACACCTCCCCTGTCCCCTCCCCAGCTCTCCCTTGCCTTGCTGCAGCCACAGATCACCGTGGTGGCCACCCTGTGTGAGCTGCTGGCCACCCTGCCCAGGCAGGACGAGGAGATGCTGCTGCCCATGTCCCCAGAGGGCCTGTACTCAGACCTAAAAAATTTCACCAGAGAGCTGCGGGAGAGGTTGTACTATATTGATGACACCTGGTGGCGCCGCGATGTCACCTGGGATTATGATGACCCTCCCGCTTCCGATGATGATGATGATGATGATGATGATGATGATGACTCTTACACCTATGATGGTGATGACCCCCCTACCTCCCTCAGCCAGGCCCTGGCTGCCTATGAGAGCACCCCATGGACGCGCTGCAATCGTGTGACAATGGAGGCCAGTAAATGGCAATTCTCAGTGTCTGTGCTTGTGAACAGCTGGGCCGAGCTGGCCAGGAAGGCCTCCAAGCTCCGCAAAGCCTGCAGGAAGATGGCCACCAAGGCAGCCGACAGGGCAGCCACCGCCACCAGCCGGGCCACGGAGCTGCAGGCCATGGCTGCCCGTTATGGGACAGCTCAGGAAAACATGGTGGAGCTGGGTCAGGCCCTGGGCAGGGAGGAGGGGACGGAGGTGGTGGCCGGGCATGAATCCTGGGTGAGGAGAGAGGCCAGGGTGGCTGCCAGCAAGGCAAGAAGGGCCACCATGGAGAGAGAGCGGCTGGAGGCGGCCCTGGGGCTGCTGGAGCGCTTGGTGGCCGCGTGTGACGAAGCCACCACGTCCCTCAGAGAGCTGCAGCGCAGGGTTGGGGACATCAGGGCTGCCCTGAAGGGGATAAATGAAGCATCCTCCAATGTCCCCAAAGACTTGGTGGCCAAGGTGGCCGTGGCTGAGCGGCTGTGGGAGGCCAACGCCCGCCTGGCCAAGGATCACCTGGTGGGGGCACTTGACGACATCATCACCTTCAATTGCCATTTTCGTGTTCTCAGCTTTGCCGATGAGGTGGCTGAGCAGGTGGCCGAGCGGTGCCAAAGAGCCATCAAGGACATCCCAAGGCTCCTTCGATACCGGGATCATCCCCAAGGTGTCCCCAAGGTGTCCCCAATGACTATGGAGCTCCAAGAGGTGCGATGTTGGAGGGAGAGGGAATCAGAGTGGACACTGGAGGGGTAGAGGCCAATGAGGGATGGGAGTCACAGGGGGGAGGGGACACGAGTGCTGGCAGGGGGTGGCAGAGTGGACAGTGGGGGGTGGCAGGGGCTGCGACTGTGGTAGTAGGGCGTGGCAGAGGGGACTGCAGAGGGGCAGAGGGCGGGAAGGGCTATGAGGGAAGGGGCAGGGGGTGGCAGAGGGAACAAGAGGCTGACAAAAGGATGGGGGGAACAAAGGGGACCCCAGGAGGCCGTAAGTGCCACGAGGTCCCTGACACTTCCCCTGTCTCCTCCTCAGCTTTTCCCGGCCCTGATGCAGCCACAGGTCACTGTCGTGGCCATCCTGGGTGAGCTGCTGGCCAACCTGCCCAGGTGGGACTGGGAGGTGCCCGTGTCCCTTCAGTGTCTGCACTGGGACCTGGAGGAATACTCCAGGGATCTCCGGGCCACCCTGCACTGCACTGAAGACACCTGGTGGCACAACATTGTCACCTCTGATGATGATGGACCTATCACCTCCCTTAGCCAGGCCCTGGCCGCCTTCAGGAGCACCCCATGGCCCCCTCAGAACCGTGTGACAATGGCAGCCAGCAAGTGGCAGCAGTCGGTGGCTGTGCTTGTGGACAGCTGGGCCCAGCTGGCCAGGAAAGCCACCCAGCTCCACAACACCTGGAGGGAGGTGGCCACCGAGGCGGCGGACAGGGTGGCCACCGCCACTGCCCAGGCCAGGGAGCTGCAGGACGAGGCTGCTCGTTATGGGACAGCTCAGGAAAACATGGTGGAACTGGGTCAGGCCCTGGGCAGGGAGGAGGGGGCTGAGGTGGTGGCCGGGCAGGAAGCCCAGGTGAGGAGAAAGGCCAGGGTGGCTGCCAGAGAGGCAACAAGGGCCACCATGGTGAGACAGTGGCTGGAGGTGGCCCTGGGGCTGCTGGAGCGCTTGGTGGCCGCGTGTGACGAAGCCACTGCGTTCCCCCGGGAGCTGCAGCGCAGGGTTGGGGCCATTGAGGCCGCCCTGAAGGGGACAAATGTGGCGTCCCCCGATGTCCCCGAGGACTTGGTGGCCAAGGTGGCTGTGGCCGAGTGGCTGCGGGAGGCCAACGCCCGCCTGGTCAAGGATCAGCTGGAGGGGGCACTTAATGACATCAATGCGTTCTATTACGGTTATGGTCCCAACAGCCCCCATTACCGCGGGGTGGCCGAGCGGTGCCAAAGAGTCATCAAGGACATCCCAAGGCTCCTTCGACCCCCAGAGTGTCCCCAGAGCGTCCCCAGGGTGTCCCGAGTGGGCATGGAGCCCCAAGAGGTGCGAGGGGGGGATGGGGGGGATAGAGAGTCGGACAGAGGGAACACTGGGGGGAGCAGAGGGGGCAGTGGAGGATGGGGGGGTCACGGGGGTGTCAGGAGGGGACAGGGGGTCACAAAGGGGACAGGAGAGAGTGGCAGGAAGTGGGGAGGGGACAGGTGGAGGGAGCACGGGGGTGGAGGGGACAGTGGGGGATGGGAGGGATGCGGCGTGGTAGGGACAGAGGGGGTGCCAGAGGGGAAAGTGGGGGGTGGCAGGGGCTACAATGTGGTGGTAGGGAGTGGCAGACGGGACAGCATAGGGGCAGGGAGTGACAGAGGGGACACTAGTGGGGGCAGGGTGGTGGCAGAGGGGACAGCAGTAGGGGCAGGGGGTGGGAGGGACTATGAGGGGAGGGGCAGAGGATGGCAGAGGGAACAGGAGGCTGACAAAGGGATGGAGGGGACAAAGGGGACCCTGGGAGGGCACTGGGGCCACTCCAGGAGGCCGTAAGTGCCACGAGGTCCCTGACACCTCCTCTGCCCCATCCCCAGCTGTCCCCGGCCCTGCTGCAGCCACAGGTCACCATGGTGGCCATCATGGGCGAGTTGCTGGCCACCCTGCCCAATCTGAATGAGGAGATGCTGCTGGTGTCCCCAGGGTGCCTGTACTGGCAACTGGAGGAATTCACCTCGGATCTCTGGGTCACCCTGTACCGCACTGATGCCACCTGGTGTTGCCGCAATGTCACCTCCAATGATGATGACCGTCTCACCTCCCTGAGCCAGGCCCTGGCTGCCTACAAGAGCACACCATGGACTACCTGGGATGATGTGACAATGGTGGCCAGCAAGTGGCAGCGGTCGGTGTCTATGCTCATGTACAGCTGGACCGAGCTGGCCATGAAGGCCACCGAGCTGTGCAACACCTGGAAGGAGGTGGCCACTGATGCGGCTGACAGGGTGGCCTTCTACACCGCCCGGGCCAGGGCCCTGCAGGACGAGGCTGCCCGTTATGGGACAGCTCAGGAAAATATTGTAGAGCTGGGTCAGGCCCTGGGCAGGGAGGAGGGGGCTGAGGTGGTGGCCAGGCATGAAGCTTGGGTGAGGAGGGAGGTCAAGGTGTCTGCCAGCGAGGCAACAAGGGCCACCATGGAGAGGCAGCAGGCAGGGGTGGCCCTGGGGCTGCTGGAGCGCTTGGCGGCCGCGTGTGACGAAGCCACCGCGTTCCCCCGGGAGCTGCAGCGCCTGCTCAGGGACATCGAGGGCACCCTGAAGGAGACAAATGAGGCGTCTCCTGATGTCCCCAAGGACTTGGTGGCCAAGGTGGCCGACGCCGAGCGGCTGTGGGAGGCGAATGCCCGCCTGGCCAATGATCACCTGGCAGAGACAGTTCGAGACATCATCAAGTTCTTGTTCCCTGGTGGTCCCGCCAGCCTCAGTGCCCGTGAGGTGGCTGAGCGGTGCCAAAGAGCCATCGATGATATCCCAAGGCTCCTTCGACCCCTGGAGTGTCCCCAAGGTGTCCCCAAGGTGTCCCCAGTGACCATGGAGCTCCAAGAGGTGCAACAGGGGGGTGGGGGGGGGCTGGAGAGGGGGGACAGTGGGGACACTGGGGGGGGAGGGGGCAGTTGGGGATGGGGAGGTCACAGGGGTGGCGGGAGGGGACAGGGGATCCCAGAGGGTATAGGAGGGAGTGGCAGGAAGGTGGGCAGTGACAGGAGAGGGGACACTGGCAGAGAAGGGGCTGTGGGAAATGGGGGGGACATGGGGTGGTGGGGACACAGGGGCTGGCGGGCAGTGGCAGAGGGGACAGTGGGGGGTGGCAGGGGCTATGAGTGTGGTGGTAGGGGGTTGCAGAGGGGACGGCAGTGGGGGCAGGGGGTTGCAGAGGGGACAGCAGAGGGGACAGCAGAGGGGCGGGGGGCGGGAGGGACTACAAGGGGAGGGACAGTGGGTGGTAGAGGAAGCAAGAGGCTGACAAAGGGATGGAGGGAACAAAGGAGACTACTCAGGAGCATGGGGCCACCCCAGGAGGCCGCAAATTCCACGAGGTCCCTGACACCTCCCCTGTTCTCTGCCCAGCTGTCCCCGGCCCTTCTGCAGCCACAGGTCACTGTCGTGGCCATCCTGGGTGAGCTGCTGGCCACCCTGCCCAGTGAGGATGAGATTAATCTGCTGTTCACGTGTCCAAGTGACTTTTACAGGGACCTGGAGGTCCTCACCTGGAAGCTCCGGGACACCCGGCACTGCATTGAAGACTGGAGGCACTGCACTGTCACCTGGGATGATGATGACCCTGTCACCTCCCTTAGCCAGGCCCTGGCTGCCTGGGAGAGCACCCCAGGGATGTCCCAGAAGCGTGCGACAGTGGCAGCCAGGAATTGGCAGGGGTTGGTAAATGCGCTTGTGAACAGCTGGGCCCAGCTGGCCAGGATAGCCACCAAGCTCCCCAATGCCTGCAGGGATTTGGCCACCAAGGCAGCCGACAGAGCAGCCACCGCCACCGCCCGGGCCAGGGAGCTGCAGGACGAGGCTGCTCATTATGGGACAGCTCAGGAAAATATGGTGGAGCTCAGTCAGGCCCTGGGCGGGGAGGAGGGGGCTGAGGTGGTGGCCGGGCACGAATCCTGGGTGAGGAGAGAGGCCATGGTGGCTGCCAGCGAGGCAAGAAGGGCCACCATGGTGAGACAGCGGCTGGAGGTGGCCCTGGGGCTGCTGGAGAGCTTGGTGGCCGCATGTGACGAAGCCACCGCGTTCCCCCGGGAGGTGCAGCGCCTGCTGAAGGCCATCAAGGCTGCCCTGAAGGGGACAAATGAGGCGTCCTCCAAAGTCTCTGAGGACTTGGTGGCCAAGGTGGCCGTGGCCGAGCAGCTGTGGGAGGCCAACGCCCGCCTGGCCAAGGATCACCTGGAGGGGACACTTCAAGGCAGTATTGATTTCTATTTCAATGGTGATGGTCCCACCAGCCCCAGTGCCTGTGGGGTGGCTGAGCAATGCCAAAGAGCCATGGAGTACATCGCAAGGCTCCTTCGACCCCCAGAGCATCCCCAGAGTGTCTCCAAGGTGTCCCCAGTGAGCATGGAGCTTCAAGAGGTGGGACAGAGGGGACACTGTAGGGGGAGGGGACGGGGACACGGAGCGGTGGGAGCAATGGGCAATGGAGGGGACATGGGGGTGGCAAGAGGGCACAGGGGGTCGCAAAGGTGGTGGGGGGAGTGGCAGGAAAGGGGGACGGGACAGAGGGATAGAGGACAAAGCGTGGGGAGGGGGCAGTTGTGGATGAGGGGGACACGGGGTGGGGAGACATGGGAGCTGGCAGGGGGTGGCAGAAGGAACCACAGAGGGAGGCAGGTGCTATGAGTGTGGTGATCGGGGGTGGCAGAGGGTACAAGGGGGTGACAAATAGACAGTGGGGACAGCAGAGCCCTTAAGGGAGTGGACAAGGGGGATCCTGGGAGAGAACCGGGGCCACCGCAGGAGGCCATTAGTGCCACCAGGTCCCTGACACCTCCTTGTCCCCTCCCAAGCTGTCTCCGGCCCTGCTGCAGCCAGAGGTCACTGCCGTGGCCATCCTGGGTGAGCTGCTGGCCAGTCTGCCTAGGCGGGTTGAGGAGATGAATCTGCACGTCCCAAAGTGCCTGTACTGGGACCTGGAGAATTTCACCAGCAACCTTCGCTTCACCCTGTTCTGCACTGATAACACCTGGTGGCGCCACAGTGTCACCTCTGGTGATGATGACCCTGTCACCTCCCTCAGCCGGGCCCTGGCTGCCTGTGAGAGCACCCGAGGGACCACCTGGGACAATGTGACAAAGGCGGCCAGCGAGTGGCAGTGGTTGGTTTCTGTGCATGTGAACAGCTGGGCCGAGCTGGCCATGAAGGCCACCAAGCTTCGCAACGCCTGCAGGGACGTGGTCACTGAGGCGGCCGACAGGGAGGCCTCTGCCACTGCCTGGGCAAGGGACTTGCAGGCCCTGGCTGCCCGTGATGGGACAGCTCAGGAAAACATGGTGGAGCTGAGTCAGGCCCTGGTCAGGGAGGAGGGGGCCGAGATGGAGGACAGGTATGAAACCCAGGTGAGGAGAGATGCCAGGGTGGCTGCCAGAGAGGCAACAAGGGCCACCATGGAGAGACAGCAGGCAGAGGCGGCCCTGGGTCTGCTGGAGCGCTTGGTGGCCGCTTGTGACGAAGCCACCGCGTTCCCCCGGGAGCTGCAGCACCTGCTCTGGGACACCAAGGCCGCCCTGAAGGGGACAAGTGAAGCATCCCCCAATGTCCCCGAGGACTTGGTGGCCAAGGTGGCCATGGCCGAGCAGCTGTGGGAGGCCAAGAGGCATCTGGCCAAGGATCACCTGCTGGAGGCAGTTCCAGGCACCAGCAAGTTCTATTTCACTGGTCGTCCCGCCAGCCCCAGTGCCTGTGGGGTGGCCGAGCGGTGCCAAAGAGCCATCGAGGACATCCCAAGGCTCCTTCGACCCCCACAGCATCCCCACAGCGTCCCCAGTGTGTCCCCAGTGAGCGTGGAGCTCCATGAGGTGCGGTGGGGGGGAGGGGGTGGAGAGGGGAACAGAGGGGACACTGGGGAGGAGGTGACAGGGAGGGGGAGGGCTAATGGGGCGTGGAGGATGGGGGGGACACCGGGGGATGAGGACAGGAGGGATGGCAGAAGGAACAGCAGGGGGTGGCAGGGACTGTGAGTGTGGTGGCAGGGGATGGCATAGGGGACAGCAGTTGGGGCTGGGGGTGGCAGAGGGGACAGGGGATGACAGAGGGGACTGCAGAACTCTCCAAGGGTGGGACAAAGGGGACCCCAGGAGGGCACAGGGGCCACTGCAGGAGGCGACAAATGCCACCAGCTCCCTGACATTTCCCCTGTCTCCTCCTTAGCCATCCCCTCCCCAGCTGCTGGAGGCTCTGGTGTCCGTGGTGGCCACTCTGGGTGAGGTGACAGCCACTGTGACCGGGCCACGCAGGGGCGTACGGCGCTGTGTGCCCCCAAAGTTGCTGCATGGGGCCCTGAGGATCTTCACCTGGAGCCTCCGTAAGGCCCTGGAACACCCCGGTGTAAGCTCCCTGGATGACCCTGGTGTCCCCTCCCTGGGCCAGGCCCTGGCCACCCTCGGGGCCACCCCTGGGGCCACCTGGGCCGATGTGAGAGCCGCGGGCAGTGCCTGGCGGGAGTTGGTGTCTGCATGTGAGGAGAGATGGAAACAGCTGGTCGAGGAGATCACCAAGCTCCGTGATGCCTGCGAGGACGCGGCCCTCGCCTGGGCCAGGGACCAGCAGGACAAGGCCACCCGCAGGGGGACAGCTGGGGACAACCTGGCAGCCACAGCCCAGCAGCTGATGGTGGCCCTGGACAGGGATGAGGAGGCCTCGGCAGGGGCCACGCGCAGTGACCAGGTGGTGGCGGCCACCAATGAGGCCATGGGAGAGGCTGTGGTGGCCCCCAGGCCGGTGAGGGTGGCCATCAGGAGGAGACATTGGGCAGAGGTGGCCCTGGAGCCGCTGCAGCGCTTGGTGGATGTGTGTGACAGAGCCACTGAGTTTATCAGTTACATGGAGTGCCAGCTCGGGGACATCGAGGCTGCCCTGGAGGGGAGAAAGGAGGCATCCCCCGATGTCCCCGAGGACTTGGTGGCCAAAGTGGCCAAGGCTGAGCAGCTGTGGGAGGCCAGCACCCGCCTGTTCAAGCATCACCTGCTGGGGACACTTGGGGACACCCACGACCTCCTCTTGAGTCCCTATGGTGGCCGTGGTGGCCCCAATGGCCCTGCCAGCCGTGCGGTGGCTGAGCGGTGCCAAAAAGCCATCGAGGACATCCCAAGGCTGCTTCAGGACAGTGACATCATCACTGCAACGTCATCGCGGCAGTAACGTCATTGGGGACATCGCTGCGGTCACCTGTGCCCTCTCCGTGCTGTAATTGAGACAAGTCTGGGGAAGTTTTTGGGAATTTTCATTGAAATTGCCCCAAATCCTGATGGGAATTCCTGGCGTGACATCACTGGGGACACTCAGGGACAGGGGTGAAAGTGTCCCCTCAAGAGCTTCCAGCTTTCCACTGTGCCTGCAGCAGAGCCAGGGTATAAATGACAATCTAGTAATTGGCTTCTGCAATTCTGCATTGGCTTCTGCACTTTTGTATTGCCTTTTGCACTTTTGTATTGCCTTTTACACATTGTTATTGATCACCAGAAATTTGATATAGTATTTGATACTGATATTGATTATTGATGATTCCTTGTAGCTGCTGGTTGGTGCAATATTATCTATCAGTTCATGTGTGCACTGTACAGCCTATTAATAAATAAACAAATAAATATCCTCTATATAAATCAGCCTGGGCTGATCTGAACTCTGTTTTAGTCCAAGTACATGGCCCCATTGAGGGATGAGTGGTCAATAAATTCATCCCAATGTTCCTTGAGGGGAGCACAGCCAGGGAGCTGCTTCAGGACGCTGTCACTGAGATATTTCCCCTTGAAAACCCTGGGTGGGATGGAAATACATCTGTGCAGATGGCAAAATTAAAATGATATCAAAGCCTCATGGAATGTGGGTTAAAACTGGGGGCTCTAATGTTGTAAATTGGAAAAAGCTTTATCAAGTGAGGCAAAATTATGATGAATCACCCACTGATTTTTAAAACAGGTGACTGCCATCAAATATACTGATCTATATAGTGAATCAGCTGATGGTAAAGCACACCTGCTTTTGTTTTGTGTGGGTCAGGCTTCAAATGATATAAGAAGAAAAGATAAAGGGAGTTGAAGACATGGATAAACTCCTGGAGGTTGCCTGGAAGGTGTTTTGAGACAGAGGCCCAACTGAAAGAGTTAATCCCAGCCTAGCAAGAAGGCAACTCCGGAAAAGTCACCCAAGAAAGCTTCCCCTATGGAGAAGGCTCAGAGTGCATCCTGTAAAAAATGGGGCCATTGGAAAAACGACTGTCCAGTGCTGAAAGAAAAATCATCAGTCCCTGTTGTAGCAGGGGTCCCCAGTGGGGAATAATGAGCATTGACTCCATGATTGCAGCAGGCTGATCAATCCCTTTTTTGTACCATCCTTTACTACTAAGAAAAACCCATGGCCCTTGCCAGACAGTCACAACACACATGCAGATCCAATTGGTCAATCAAGCCAAACAACCATTGCCAGTGGCCAGTTGTTCTGGTTTGAAAGTAAAACCAGTGAGAGACTCCAAGTCAGAAATACAAGTTTTTACACAAAGGGAAAAAACCCCAAAATACATGAACCACAAAAGAAAAAAATATATAAATGTATAATGCACATAATAATGAACACAAAAGATATATAGATGTATAGATATATATATAGATATATATAAAATACAGAATGAAACCTTACACACAGATCTCATTAAAATTAGGTCTCTTTGTGGTACACAAGGGGTTTCCTCGTCCTTCTGCATTACCCACCCACAGTAACCAGGTCCTTGAGGCAAAATGTTGGTGCCCTACGTTGGGCGCCAAAATTATGTTCTGGTGTGAAAGCAAAACCAGTGGGAGACTCCAAGTCAGAAATACAATTTATTAGGAAAAGGGAAAAAAACCCCAAAACACATGCAATAATACAAAATAAAACTACTGACAGAGTCAGAATATATCCTGACACCCTGCTGCTTAGGGCACTGGTAGCAGTTCAGATGAAAGGTCTTGTTGAAGTCGTGATCCTGTAGAAAAGATCTGATAGCGCTTGTCCTCTGGAAACCAGTGGGTAAGGGCTGCCTGTTCTGTCCCAAAGCCCAGATTATATCCAGGTGGGGATGCTGAGCTCCTTCCCCCTGAGTGGAGCATCTCCCAATGGGCTGATATTCTTCTGAGTCATGATTGGTCCTTGATTGCCCATCAAACAGAAATGGCTCCTGGAGGGAGTTATCTCTGAGTCATGATTTCAATTAATTAAGCCTCACTAAGATAGTGAGCTTCCTTTGCAACTGTCTCTGAAAAAATTAGTGAGTAGAAGAGCTGGACAATTTTAGTTTTATTTTGGAAAATATTGATGCTGTTTCGACAATTATTTTTTTCCTTTCCTGCCTGCTTCACTTGCTCCCTGCTCTGATTTTCTCTGAAAAGCAATATTGTGTTTACCTAGTAACAATGGCAGGTAAGTTGTTCCCAGCTGTCAAACAGGAAATTACAATTTCTATGTGACCTGGAAAGATTTCACAGTAACATCTTTTTTGGTGTCGGATTGGAAGGTTGGGGAAGCTGGGAGCAATCAGTGAGATTTTGATCGGGAGCTGCTGCTCAGTGCATGGAATTGATGGATTCATGTAGGGGGATAGAATATAAGTAAATAAAGGTAATGGAGAAAGTAATCTTACCCCTGAAGAGCTGCAGCTGAGCCAATTATTAGAGATTTGGAGAAGGCCTGATTTTAACAGGCCACAGCTATAGCTTAATGAGCCTTAATTGGTCTTATCCTAGGGCAAGCTATGACAGCTCCAGAGCTCAGCCCCCAAGGGGACTGAGTGCCAGAGGCCAGCTCGCTCAGACCAAGGCTGCGGGTCAGCCCCTAGCAAGCAGGGGAATATTCAGCTCTTATAGTGATTAGCCAGCTCTTATGATTTCAGCTTTGCTTGCTAGGTAGCTTGCCCTTGGCTTGAGGCTCCAGCAGACGGTAGAGAGAGGAGAAGGAGAAGACGCCGGCTGTTCCACGAGTATGGCTTTATTGGAGGGGTCCGTGAAGGGTCTCAGCTCTTCTTCTTCCAAGTTAGTAGGGGTACGGTATGCTACTTTTATAGCCTTGGCCCAGTTCCAGTCTTGACCAATGGCAAAGGTTAGAGTGATCATAAGTGACCAATAGTAGGGTTAACAAGATATTGCCTTACATGGTTTTAGGGATAAGTTACAGGGCGGATGTCCCTGGAGTCAGGAAGCTTCTTTGCTGCTGTGTCAGCATTTCTATTATTCAGATTCTCCTGGCTAAACTTGTGGGTTTCACTACAGTAGCCCATAAGAAGAGTGTTATAAAAGAGTGTATTGGTTGGCTGAGGGAACTGGAATCAGTTGGCTGCTGCGAGGAATAGGAAGAGTCAGTGCCTGGAGGAGCTGCCTACAAGAGACATCAAGGAGGTACGAAACTCTAGCGATATGAAACCTTTGCAATGTAATGACAATAGAAATCTTGCACTATAATGACAACAGGTTCATTACAGGAGATCAGGAAAAACCATAAACCAATGCCCCTCCCGGTGCCAGCAAGCTCTTGGGGATGGGAATAGAATACATTCTATATTGGAACCTAGGACAGGGCCATTAACTAATAATTCTCTGCTGCTAATGGGTAATTAATTATTGATTACCTGCTGTTCATGGGCCATTATTCTAAATTCTCTGCTGTTAATGGGCCATACAGTATCACTGCATGGATGATGGGATTACATCATCCCGTTGGGAGATGCTCCGCCCAAGGAGAGGAGCCAAGCATTCCTACCTGGATGGAATCTGAGGTTGAAACACCACAGCAGCCTTTGCCACTGCAATTCCCAGAGGAGCAGCTTTCTTCTTACTTTTACTTTATTTTTTTGTCTTTTTTTATTATTGTTATTTTTGACTTTATTATTTTTATTCTTATTTTTACTTTGTTTTTATATAGTTTTAAATTATTTTTAATTTTTATTACTTTTTTATTTTGTCATTCATTTTATTTCTATCTTATTTATATTTTTATTTCTATCATTAGATAATTTATTTTAATTTTTTAATTTTATTTTTATCTAATTTTTATTTTTATTTCTATCCTTTATAATTCATTACTTTGTTTTATTTTTATTTCTATCTTTTTAATTTTTATTATTTCATTTTGCTTTTATTATTGTATATTTTATTTTATTTTTATTCTTCGTTTTATTTTTCTCTTATTTTTGTTTTTATCCTTTTATTATTTACTACTTTTATTTTTATATTTTATTTTATTTTTACCTCATTTTTTTCTGGCTTTATTTTTATTCTTATTGCTATTTTTATTCTTATTTTTGTTTCTTTACTTCTTTTAATTTTAATATTTTATTTTATTTATTTCCCTTCCCAAATTAAGAACAGTTATTCCTGCTCCCGTATCTTTGCCTGAGAGCCTTTTAATTTCAAATTTATAACAATTCAGAGGGAGGGGGTTCACATTTTCCATTTAGGGGGTCTCCTGCCTTCCTCAGCACACACCTGTCTGTTCAAACCAAGATACACCAAAATACCCCAAAATTCCACCAAAACACCATAACACACCACAAAATTACACCAAATCACCCTAAAAATTGCACCGAAATACGCTGAAATCCCATCAGGGACCCTGAAATTGCACCAAATTACCACAAAATTACACCAAAATACCCCAAAAGCTCATCAGGAACCCCAAAATTACACTGAAATACCCCAAAATCTAGTCAGTGATCCCAAAAATCCCCCAAATCTGTTCATGGACCCCAAAATGACCCCAAATTCCCGCAAAATTGCCCCAAATCCAGTCAGGGACCCACAAAATCCACTCAGGGGCCCCCCAACATCCCCTCAGGATGCCCCAAACCCAGTCGGGAACCCCCAAGATACCTCAAACCCCCTCAGGACCACCAAAATCCCTCAGGACACCCCAAAATCCCCACCAAAAACTTCCTCAGAACGCTGCCAAGTCCCCTCACCACCTCAGGACCCCCTCAGGACCCCCAGATCTCCCTCAGTGTCCCCCTCAAAACTACTCAGGACCCTCAAAAATCTCAGAATCCATGCAGATTCCCTCATGACGCCCCCAAATCCCCTCAGGACCTGCCAATCCCTTCACAACCCCCCAAAATTCCCTAAACCCCCTCAAGATCCCCCCCAGATCTCCCCAAACCCCATCAGGACCCTCAATTCTCTCTCAGAACCTGCCAAAATCCACCGTAAAACCCTTCACAACCTGCCCAGTTCTCCCTCAGGACCCCCCAAAGACCCTCAGGACCTTCCAGATACTCTCAGGATCCCCCAAATCCCCTCAGGATCCTCAATTCTCCCTCTAACCCCCCAAAATCCCCTCACAACCCTTCCAACCCCCTGATGACTCCACATGTCCCCTCAGGACCCCCTGTTCACCCCTCACAACCGCCCAAGCTCCCCTCAGAACCCCCAGTTCTCACTCAGGACCCCCCAAATCCCCTCAGGATTCCCCAAAACCTCTCATGACCCCTCACATCCCCTCAGGACGCCCCAAACCCCCTCAGTTCCCCCTCAGTACCCCCAAGGCCCCTGACATCCCCTCAGTCCCCTCACAAACCCCCTCCAAGCCCCCACAGTACTCCCCAGATCCCCTCAGGACCACCCGTTCTCCTTGAGGACCCCAATTCTCCCTCACGACACCCCCAAACCCCCTCAAGACCGCCCAAATCACATCAGATCCTCTCAAATCCCCTCAGGAAGCCCAAATCTCCCTCAGGACCCCCCAACCCCCCCCAACGCCCGCAATTCCCTCAAAATCCTCCCAGCCCCCTCCTCATCGCTCCCGCCCCCCGCTCCCGGTGCTGACCGCGGGGGGGTCGCCCATCTCGCGCTGCCGGGGGGGGTCTCGGGGCTCCCTCGGCGCCCCCAAATTCCCGCCCCGCCCCCTTCCCCCGCGGCCTCAGCCCCGCTCCGCCGCCGCTGGGCCCCACCGGGACCACAATGCCCACAATGCACCGCGGTTCTGCCGGAAGCGGCCGCCGACACTGCCCCGGGGGAAACTTCCGCCAGTACTTCTGCCGGGCGCGGCTTTTGAGTGATCCGCGCTGCACGACAGGGCCCCTGTGCCGCCATCTTTATTGAGGGCAATTCTGTGTGCCCCCCAGAGCGCTCCGCGTTGCCTCATAAATCCCGCCAGGAATGGCGGAATCCGTCTGGAAATGGCGGGATGGAGCCTAAATCAACTGGGGATGGATCCTAAATCCCCTGGGATTGAGCCAAAGCGCCCAAATCCTGGAGCTTCCATGGATAAGGGCGCTACTGGAAAGGGCGGGCGCCCAGCCCCTTTCCGGCCCTTCCTGAGGCGGCTCCGCTATTTGCTTGGCGCCGTTCCCGGGGCCGGTTCTGGGCCGGGATTGGCACTGGTCTCGGGGCTCCTTCGCCACCGGAGCGTCCCCAAGGTGTCCCCAAGGTGTCACCAGTAACCATGGAGACCAAAGAGGTGCGATTGGAGGGGTAAATAGGGGAAGATGGCGGGGGAGGGGACCCGGGGACTGGCTCGGTGTGGCAGAGGGGACAGCAGAGGGGACAGCAGAGGGGACAGGAGGGTGGCACAGGGGACAGCAGAGGGGACCGGGGGTGGCAGGGGTTATGAGAGGGTGGCAGAGGGGACAGCAGGGGGGTGGCAGAGTATCGCAACTCAGGACATCCCTCTGGGTGTCCAGAACGGCCAAGAGCCCGGCCAGGGGGCTCAGAAACCCTGGCACAGAGCCCAGAACACCTGTGGGTTTGATTATGACCCGTGGAGAAAATTACCAGCCTTGTACGAAGACCAGCAAGCCACAGCAGTTTAAGTAGCATAATAGTGAAATTATCACAGGGTGAAAAAATAGATTTTTGGGGTTTCTAGAATGGGGGTTTTGGAGGCAAGGTGGAAGGATTTGAGCGTGTCCAGCCTTTCTCCTTCTTCTCTGCCTCCATCTTCTGCTGTGATGTGGGCACTTTTAGATTGGTTTAGAGTAGGAGCTCACTGTCTAACATAGGTGATAGGTATTGGAAAGAAATTGTAAATATTGTACACGTAGTTTTTAGTATAAAGACATAACCCTGCCCCGGGGCCAGGCAGTGTGCCTGGAACTGTCCTGCTGGATGGGCTTCGGCAGGGGAGGAGAAAAATTTTTATAAATAAGATGCAATAAAAAACCTTGATATCTTTTAAGTGCCTGGGCTGGGAAGAGATTTTTCATGTATCTGGGGGTCACAGTGACTTGGACCCTCGAGAGCAGAGGGGACAGCAGAGGGGGCAGGGCGGTGGCAGAGGCTATGAGGGAAGTGGCAGAGGGAACAAGGGAGGGACAGATGGGCAGCAGAGCCCTCCAGGGAGGGGGACAAAGGGGAAGTCTCAGGGGCAGGGGGCACCTCAGTACAACACAGGTGCCACCAGGTCCCTGACACCTTTGCTGTCCCCTCCCCAGCTGTCCCCAGCCCTGCTGCAGCCACAGGTCACTGTGATGGCCACCGTGGGTGAGCTGGTGGCCCTCCTGCCCAAATGGGAGGGGATTCTGCTGCTGAATGACTTCGGAAACTGCGTGTACAGGGACCTGAAGGATTTCATTGAGAACTTTCACGTCACCCTGCACCGCACTGAGGGCACCTGGTGGTACCGCCATGTCAACTCTGATGATGATGACTCTCTCATCCCTCCAAGCCAGGCCCTGGCTGCCTGGGAGAGCACCCCAGGGACCACCCAGTTCTGTGTGATGGGGGCAGCCAACAAGTGGCAGGAGTCGGTGTCTCTGCTTGTGAAAAGCTGGGCCAAGCTGGCCGGGACAGCCACCAAGCTCCGCAACACCTGCAGGGATTTGGCCACCAAAGTGGCTGACAGGGTGGCCAGCACTGACACCCGGGCCAGGGACATGCAGGCCATGGCTGCCCGTTATTGGACAGCTCAGGAAAACATGGGGGAGCTGGGTCAGGCCCTGGGCAGGCAGGAGGAGGCTGAGGTGGTGGCCGGGCGTGAAGCCCAGGGGAGGGAACATGCCATGGAGGCTGCCAGCGAGGCCACCATGGAGAGACAGCGGGTGGAGGCGGCCCTGGGGCTGCTGCAGCGCTTGGTGGCCGCGTGTGACGAAGCCACCGTGCTCCCCCGCGACCTGCGGCGCCTGATGAAGGTCATCAAGGCTGCCCTAGAGAGGACAGATAAGGCGTCCCACAATGTCCGCAAGGACTTGGTGGCCAAGGTGGCCGAGGCCGAGCGGCTGTGTGAGGCCAACGCCCGCCTGGTCAAGGGTCACCTGGAGGGGATGCTTGAGACCATCAAGTTCTTGTTCGATGGTGATCCTGTCAGCTCCGGTGCCTGTGGGGTGGCTGAGCAGTGTCAAAGAGCCATTGAGGACATCCCAAGGCTCCTTCGACCCCCGGGGTGTCCCCAGAGCATCCCCAATTTGTCCCCAATGAGCATGGAGCCCCAAAAGGTGAGAGACGAGGGGATTGGGGGGGGTGGGTAGGGCGCAATGGGGGACGGAAGGGGCACGGGGGCTGGAGGGTGGGGGGGGCAGCGTGGACAAGAGGGTGACAAAGGGGCAAAGAGGACCCCACAGGGGTACGAGGCCACTGCAAGAGGCCGTAAGTGCCACCAGGTCCCTGACACCTCCCCTGTCACCTCTCCAGGTGTCCACTCCACAGCTGCAGGTGCTGGTGGCCGTGGTGGCCACCCTGGGCGAGGTGGTGGCCACTGTGACGGGGCCACACTGGGGCAAGTTCCCAGACTCCCTGTATAAGAACCTGAAGAGATTCACCCAGAGCCTCCGTGCAATCCTGAACCAAGGTGATGTCACCTCCCTGGGCCACCCTGGTGTCCCCTCCCTGAGACAGGCCCTGGGCACCCTCTGGACCACCCCCAGGACCACCCGTGCCAATGTGAGAGCTGCAGCCAGCACCTGGCGGGAGTTGGTGGCCAAGCTCGTGGACAGCTGGGACTGGCTGGCCAGGGAGGCCACCAAGATCCGTGACAACCACAGGAAGGTAATCGCGGAGCAGCAGCTGATGGTGGCCCTGGACAAGGAGGAGGTGACCTGGGGAATGGCCACACACAGTGCCCGGGTGGCAGCAGCCGGCAATAAAGCCAGGGCAGAGGCTGGAGTGGCCACCAGGAGGGGACGTTGGGCAGAGATGGCCCTGGGGCCGCTGCAGTGCTTGGTGGCCACGTGTGACGGAGCCATCTTGTTCAACTGGAACATGGAGTGGCAGCTCAGGGACATCGAGGCCATCCTGAAGGGGACAAACGAGACATCCCCTGATGTCCTTAAGGCCTTGATGGCCACAGTGGCCAAGTTTGAGCAGCTGTGGGAGGCCAGCACGCACCTGGTCAAGGAACACCTTCTAGGGACACTTGAGGTCATTGACAACATCTTCTTCAGTCCCTATGTTGTCCTGGATGGCCCTGGCAGACGCGCAGTGGCCGAGCGGTGCCAAAAAGCCTGGGAAGACATCCCAAGGCTGCTGCAGGAAAGTTTCACATAGGGGCAATGACATCATTGGACACATCGCTGCTGTCACCTGTGCCCTCCCCGTGTAGAATTTGAGACAGATTTGGGGAATTTTACAGGGAATTTTCAGTGATACTGTCCCAAATCCTGCTGGGAATTCCTGGAGTGATGTCACTGGGGACACTCAGGGACACTCAGAGACACTCTGGGAGACGGGACATGGCTGAATGAGTCCCCTCAAGAACTTCCAGCTTTCCACTGTGCAGCAGAGCCAGGTCATAAATTGCAAATTTATGATTGGCTTCTGCAATTCTGCATTGGCTTCTGCAGTTTTGTATTGCCTTTTTGCGCTTTTTTTATTGCCTTTTGCACTTTTGTATTGCCTTTTACACATTGTTATTGATCTGCAGCAATTTGATATGGTATTTGATACTGATATTATCGGTGATTCCTTGTAGCTGCTGGTTGGTGCAATGTAATCTATCAGTTCCTGTATGCACTGTGCAGCTTATAAATAAATAAATAAATAAATAAAAAAATAATATTCTCTTTATAATTCAGACCGGGCTGATCTGAGCTCTGTGTCAGACACATCACTTGACCCCATCGAGAGATGAGTGCTCAATAAATCCACCTACATGTTCCCTGAGGGGAGCACAGCCAGGGAGCTGCTTCAAGGTGCTGTCACTGAGATATTTCCCCTTGAAAATCCTGGGTGGGAGGCAAATACACCCAAGCAGATGGCAAAATTAAAATGATATCAAAGCCTTGTGGTATGTGGGTTAAAACATGGGGTCTCTAAAGCTGTGAATTGGTCAAAGCTTTACCAAATGAGGCAAAATTATGATGAATCACCCACTGATTTTTTAAACAAGTGGAGAGAAACTGCCATCAAGTATACTGATGAATCAGCTGATGGTAAAGCACACCTGCTTTTGTTTTGTGTGGGTCAGGCTTCAAATGACATAAGAAAAGATAAAGGGAGTTGAAGACATGGATAAACTGCTGAAGGTTGCCTGGAAGGTGTTTTGAGATAGGGGCCCAGCTGAAAGAGTTAATCCCAACCTAGCAAGAAGGCAACTCGGGAAAAGTCACCCAAGAAAGCTTCCCCTGTGGAGAAGGACCAGAGAGCATGCTGTAAGAAATGGGGGCATTGGAAAAAGGACTGTCCAGTGCTGAAAGAAAAATCATCAGTCCCTCTTGTAGCAGGGGTCCCCCGTGGGGAATAATGAGCATTGACTCCATGATTGCAGCAGGCTGATCAATCGCTTTGTTATACCATACTTTACTACTAAGAAAAACCCATGGCCCTTGCCAGACAGTCACAACACACTTGTGGATGCAACCAGTCAATCAAGCCAAACAACAATCACCAGTGGCTAGTTGTTCTGGTTTGAAAGCAAAAGCAGTGAGAGACTCCAAGTCAGAAATACAAGTTTTTACACAAAGGGAAAAAACTCCAAAATACATGAAACACAAAAGAAAAATATATATAAATGTATAATGCACATAATAATGTATATAAAAGATATATAGATATATGGATATAGATATATATAAAATACAGAATGAAAACTTACACACAGTTCTCACTTCAAATTAGGTCTCTTTGTGGTACACAAGGGGTTTCCCTGTCCTTCTGCATTACCCACCCACAGTAACCAGGTTCTTGAGGCAAAATGTTGGTGCCCTACGTTGGGTGCCAAAATTATGTTCTGGTGTGAAAGCAAAACCAGTGGGAGACTCCAAGTCAGAAATACAATTTATTAGGAAAAGGGAAAAAAACCCCAAAACACATGCAATAATACAAAATAAAACTACTGACAGAGTCAGAATATATCCTGACACCCTGCTGCTTAGGGCACTGGTAGCAGTCCAGATGAAATGGTCTTGTTGAAGTGGTGATCCTGTAGAAACGATCTGGCAGCTCTTGTCCTCTGGAAACCAGTGGGTAAGGGCTGCCTGTTCTGTCCCAAAGCCTGGATTATTTCCAGTTGGGGATGCTGAGCTCCTCCCCCCTGGGTGGAGCATCTCCCAATGGGCTGATATCATTCTGAGTCATGATTGGTCCTTGATTGCCCATCAAACAGAAATGGCTCCTGGAGGGAGTTATCTCTGAGTCATGGGGCAAGGGATTGAGGGGCCCATTCACAGGAGATAAGGAAAAAACAATGCCTCTGCTGGTCTGAACAGCTCTTGAGGATGGGAATGGAATAAATCTTTATGTTTTAACCTAGGACATAATCCATCCCTTATCCTATTGCCATCTATACCCAAACCAATATTCTGTTACAGTTATACATATCTATAATGCAAAATGAAACTTTATACACAGTTCTTACTTAAATATAGGTCTCCTGGTGGTACACAAGGGGTTTCCCCATCCTTCTGCATTTCCCAATGAGTGAAACCAGGTTCTTGAGAAAAAACCTTGCTACCCCACTTTGAGTGCCAAAATTATGTTCTGGTTAGAAAGCAAAACCAGTGAGAGACTCCAGGCCAGAAATAAAATTTATTAGGAAAAGGGAAAAACCCCAAAAATACATGCAATAGTACAAAATGAAACCACTGATAGAGTCAGAATGCAACCTGACACCCTACTAGTTAGGATGGTGGTGGCAGTCCACATGAAATGGTCTTGTTGAAGTGGTGATCCCGTAGAAAAGATCTGGCAGCTCTTGTCCTCTGGAAACCAGTGGGTAAGGGCTGCCTGTTCAGTCCCAAAGCCCAGATGATATCCAGGTGGGGATGCTGAGCTCCTCCCCCCTGGGCAGAGCATCTCCCATGGGCTGATTGCAGTGGTGCGGCAGTTGTGTTAGTGTCAATCGCCCAGGCTAGCCGGCTAGCAACCGCTAACAGCACGGAGGGGCACTTGTCCCGATAGCTGGGCTTCGGGAGAGCGCCTCAAGCAGACACCCAGCGCTATGGCTGTAGGCGCTGCCAGGTGTGGACGAGACCCAGAATCGCTGCGATGAACAGGAATAAAGAGCGCTCTCCCTTTTGGGGCAAAGTCCGGCTTTAATGATATCCAGGGGAGCCAACAAAACGAAGAGGATTTGACAGTTGATACATGTGGTTATAACGGGAGTGGATGGTAGGGTGGAACCAGCACAGAGACCAATGGGAATCCAGGCGGGAAAGGGGTACAAGGGATTGACATACACAGGAGACCAATGGGTACAGCTAGGAAGGGGGGCCCCAGTCCCTGACCCAATCACTTCAAACCCTGGAGAGAAGCTTCTGGAGAAAAGGGAGTGAGCAGGGAGTGACTGGCAGGGCCCTGGGGAGGAGTAGGGGAAAGGATACATTGAGTTGTCAGGGTAACCAGGGAGGAGTAGAACTGGATACATCTGGCGCCATGGGGACCAGAAAGATTGACATTTAACTGGGACAGGTGTTGCCTTCAAGGCGTGGCGACCTGGTTCTTAGTCCGGCACAGTGGCCCAATGCCCAGGATCACTAGGTCCATATGCTCCTGACACCAACGTGGTGGACAGCAAATGGCGTTTATTGAGGGGTCACAGGGGTCCTTTATAGCTTGGGCAGTCAGTGTCATTTCCTTCTGCTCACGTCCGGCTGGGTGCGGCCAGGCACAGAGCAAAGGTCTGACTGCAGGGGAGGGGGGATATCCTGACTGACCGTATAGCCCGATTTCTTCCGCACGCATGTCCCTAACTCTCCACAGAGAGGAGGGAGAACCTGGGCAGAACCGTTTCAACATGGTGAGAAACAGAGCATTCCAACTTCAAACAAAGGGAGAACAAATCAAGCAAAGGGAGAGTAAAACAAACACACCACAACAGGCTGATATTGTTCTGAGTCACGATTGGTCCTTGATTGCCCATCCAACAGAAATGGCTCCTGGAGGGAGTTATCTCGGAGTCATGGAGCAAGGCACTGATGGGCTCATTAATAGGAGATAAGGAAAAAAACAAAGTCATATCACCCTGTTTTTTTAAGTTTGTCTAAGCCTTCCGATGTTTACATTCTTGTAAGGTACTTTCTCACACAGTTTATGTAAATACCTTATTGTTTTGCTTTCTTTTATGGAGGAGGAGAAGAAATTTGATGGACTGTTGGTTTCTTCAGTGTCATTGGAGAGGTAGCACTTTCACCCTGCAATCCACTGTCACTTTTGGAAATCTGTAAATGTTGGTGGCAGAAATTAAGTGTGCTCTTTTTTACCTTGGGACAATGGTGTGTCCACATTGTGTTATTTCCTGTTCTGTAGCGACATCTGGTGGCTGCCGTGTGTCGAACAGCCACGGGTGAGGTCATATCGTTTTACTCCCCTCCTTGCTCTGGCGTGGTGACTGTGAGCCGTTCGGCACTTTGCCTGCAGCTCTTGTGATAATGGCAAATCCTGTGGGTTTCATGGAGGATTCTCTGGTTTTGGACCTCTGGAAGGGTCTCAGGGAGCGGAAATGGATTTCTGTTTCCTGGAGTGATTTTGAAAGATTATTTCTGTGGGCCAGAGAGCATGGGTTTTTTTCTAACCCTGCAGAGGCATTCTCTGGGGAGGCATGGTCTCTCATGGGAGGCCAAGCGCTTTTTGATGATGGCATGATAGACGTGGGATCACTGCAGGTGCAGTGGAAAAAGTTTGACGTGACTTGACGGAGTTCTGGGTTTTGTAGCTCTCGGAGTTCCCAGGGGATCCATTCTGTCTCAGATGTGGATGAGGGGGTGTAAGAGCCTAAATGAGGGATGTGGGACCCCAGGCAGCTCTTCATAATGCAGTTTAGTACATCCAAGGTATTACAGCAGTCCAGGGTCAAGGGTGACAGATCCTGTGCCTACATGTCAGCTCCAGCTGCAGGCAGGCCTGGAGACCCACACCCCTCACTGAGGCTTTTACTATTGGTGGCACCCCACTTTGGGCGCCACTGTAAGAGCCTAAATGAGAGATGTGGGACTCCATGTGGCTCTTCAAAATGGAGTTTATTGTATCGAAGGTGTTACAGCAGTCCAGGGTCATGGGTGACAGAGCCTGTGCCTACAGCTGTGTCAAGGTTTGACACTGGCACAATGCCA